CCTGGTTCATATATAATGGGTGCACATTCACGTCATCAATCTATTGTTGAAGATCTTGATATAAGTTTTACCTGTAATTTAGATAATGATAAAAATATCCATATACCAAAAAACGTTGAATTTCATCATGTACCACCAAGTAAACTTCAACGTTTTGTTAGTCGAATCACAGAATTTCTTGAAGATATTAAAGTATCACGTTCATTAAAAAATGTTCATACACCAATTCGTTTACGTATTGATCAACAACGTGAGTATGAACGTCAACAACGTATTGAAACAAATCATAAAATAATTAAAATATTTCTTGATTTAATGGTTGATTTATGTGGTGATACATTAAAACCAATTTATTGGAAAGTAAATCCTCAACAATTAAGTCCAACAAATGCATTAACAAGAACATCAAATAATGATGGAAAAAATTCTAATCAAATTCAAACTACAACAAAATTTAGTAAACAAAAATATTTACTTTCTAAAACTGAAGGTGTTGAATTAGAATTTTATCGAACATTTGTTGAAACTACAGCATTTCAACTTCTTATGGAAGAAGAAATGACATCAACATCACCAACTATATTTAGACAAATATGTCAATTACATTCATTATCAAATGAAAATCAACTTTATCATGTTAATATTATATCATCAGAAGAAAGTGAACATAATCAAGTAAATGAATTAAAATTCAATAGAAGTTTTCATATTATTTAGTTTTTGTTTTATATTTAGGTTGAATCAACAACTACATTATATGGTGCAATGTCTTCCCAAATGTTATTACCATTACCAGATTGGTCTTCGAATGCATCAACACATTATTTAGATAGTTGTATCGAATTATTTACTAGTGAATTACAAAATGCACAAGAAGAACGTTCACCAGCTGTAATAGCTGTTTATGCTTATCTACGTGGTTGTGCATTATTAGCTCGTGGTCAATATCTTGATGGTCTTCGTGATCTTTATTTAATTGAAAATCGAAATCTATTTCCATATGATTATATTGAAACAACTATTCTACCTTGTGTTTCTGATGAATGTCAACTTGAATTATTTCTTAACGAACCATATTATACAAAATCTCCTGAATGGAAAAAACTTGATATACATTCAGCATCTCAACATATGTCAATAATTGATCTTGAAAAAAGTGGAAATTCATTAGATGATGCAACACCTATACAATCAGCAACTGAAGTTGATCTTAGTAATGAATGGAATCTTTTAGAAAATGCTCTTACATTAGAACAATTTAGTGAACATGTACATCGTTTAAGTATTGTACTTGATAAAGAAACAACAGAAAAATTATTCAATGCTTTATTATATTGGACAGATAATTCAATAACCAAAACATTGAAAAAAGATAAAACATCAACAAATGATACAACAAATAAATCTTCTGAAACAACGAAATCATTAGCGAGACGTTGGTCAATAACAACACATTCCTTAAAAGATACACTCACTATGCTTAATGATTATCGGCGAGGTAGTCAACATACAACGCATTCACCTAAATCATCAGTAGAATCTAATGCATGTTTACCTACAACATTATTTGAATCATTTCTTGATATTTGGCAACAAACAAATGCTGAAAAAGTTCGAATGAATCGTTATTTACCCGAAGATCGACAAAAAAAAGAATCAATTTTAAAAGTAAAATTTTCAAATATTTAGATTACATTTGAATCGAAAAAAAAAGACGAACAAAAACTTTCATTTTTAGGTTTCATCATCGGGTATTGTATCAAAAGCAGATGGTCCAGGACAATTAATTTTAACACAAAAACGACTTTATTTCTTGCCTGAAACACGTTCATTTGCACGTCTTCTTACTGAACTTATGAATATCAAATCTGTTGATAAATATCAACATCAAACAGTTTTTTCATCATCAAAGCCCGGTATTAAAATTCAAACATCATCAACCACATCATCATTACCACGTGATAATAATTTAACATTAAAATCTAAAACTTCATCATTAGAAAAAGAATCTAAATCATTGATTAGACTAATTTTTAAAAATAATCATGAGCAAGAATTATGGTATATAATTATTATTGAATTATGGTCGGGTTTAACAATTGCACATGAACGATGTGATACAGCTGTACTTAATAAAGCTTCAAGACATATTGCACTTATGGATACATTATCTAATATTGATTATAATGAAGAAGCAATGCAACTTGTTGATAAACAATCAACAAGTTTTCACGGAAAACCGAAACAACTTCATAATGAAGTAATTAAGCATTTTATTTTATTTTTTTGTTTTGAAATAATGAGCATGCATTGTAGATTTTTATAATCATAATCTTTTTTGTGAAACATGATTTAAAATGAGTGTTGAAGTACGTAGAGTAAAAACTTGCATGCTCCCATAGACCGTGACAACCGCCGTTTAAGTTCATGTTAGATCTACAGACAGATCTCAGGGAGATTAGCAAAAAACTAAAACGATTCGTCCACAAGGAACTTTGTCACCGAGTTATAATCGATTTAGTGAATTTTTTATTCATTTGTAGGTTGTTCGCAAAAAATTAAATGATAAAATTTCTATCTCAAAATTTGCCCATAGATAAGTCTAATGATTTTTAGAATATCCTAAAAGTTCCAGTCGAAAAGAATATTCCTTTGTTAAGCTATAAATTTTCAAATGAACTCAATTGTTGTGGTATGTCCGTGGGAAAGACCTATTTTTATAATCTTAATATCTTGACGAAGGAACATTTTCCCTAGCGGAAACTTTCAGAATATTCTAAAAGTCATTAGACCTATCTATAGGTAAAATTTTGGATCAAATCTCTGCTGCTCGATCTTCTGGAAAGTACCTAAATATTGATCAAAAATCTAATTAATCGACAATGATTCGGTGTCGAAGGTCAATGAGGACGAACTCTTTGAGATCCAATATGAGCTCAAATGGTGGATATCACTTAAAGTGATTCCCTCGTTAATGCAACACTCTTTCTGCACTATAAACTCTGACAAATGTTGTTGATATACGATCAAAGACCGTATATGAATAACATCTTGTTATAATAAATAAGTTACTTCCTTATTGCGCATTTCTGAAGGATTAAGTAAGAGGATAGTGAAGAAATGCGTCTCAAAATAGATAGAATGAAACAATCTCCTTGTAGTTGCGCTAACAGTTTTATTTTTCACGTATTTTCATAAGCAAAATATTGAATCGATCATCATTTCTTTTTCAGTTGGTTCATTGAATAATTTGAATTAAATTCATCTTATTTTTGTTGATAGGCAAGTCTTGAAATGGCTTTAAATGATTTATCAACATTTACACGAATGCGTCAAGATGGTTCATTTAAATCATTATCTGTTGAAACACGAAATGTTCTCACTCATCGTTTATCACCCTCAATAAATGAAACTGAACGTCATGCTGTACGTTGTCTTATATTTACTGAACATCCTGATAATGGACGTTCATCACTTTGGTGTGCATATGGTTCAAAACTTAAAGTATTTAATGTAAAAACATGGATATGTGATCCAATTGATATATTATTTCCATCATTAATAACATGTATGTGTCTTGATACACGCGATAAACTTTGGATAGGTTGTATTCATGGTCAAGTATTTATTGTTGATACAATAACACATGTTTGTGAATCACAAATAACATCGATTGATGGTGAAGGTGGATGTCAAACAATAGCATTTGATGAAATGCATAATTATATTCTAACTGCTAATCGAGCCGGTTCAGTTATTGTATGGAATGCATCGAATTGGGAACGTTTATATGATTTTAATATATGTGAAATATATAAAACAACTCAGAATATTCAACAACGAACATTTAAAAGTGAAGCAGTAGTTAAACTTCGTAATACAACACAATCATCAAAAGCTGTACAAAGTCAAAACCGAAAACAAAAACTTTATGTTGATTCAAAAGCATCTGCAACACCAATTGATATGCCAAGTAAGAATATTTTGAGCAGTTTCATTCATTAGCGACGCGATTTTGCAACATAAAAATACTTATATTTTTGAACTCGAGCATTTATTTTAAGTAATTTTTTTGTAACAGATATACTCTAAATTCTCTGAATAACTCAGTCCTATAGGCCGTAGTTCACAGAATTATTATTGAGAAAAAAAAAACGTTAGCGACATGATAGAAAAATGGGACAGGTATGTCCTCTGTTATTAACTTATTAAGTACTTCTATAAAGAATCAAAGTTAAATTGCAGATGACGATGTTTCGTTTTCCCTAATTTTGCCTATCTATTAAAATAAAATTGATTATTTAAAATTCTTCTATATTCTTAGATATGCCGTCATTTAGTGGACCAGCTCCAATTATTCCAGCAACAACAGATAAACTTGAACGTATACAAATTTATAATGATCTATTATTTGCTTGTTATCGTTATGATTATATACTTATTTTACGTATATCTGATTCAAATACATATACATTTGAACATTTAATATCAGTTAAATATAAAACAGGTGATTCAACACCAGTCGATTCATTTATTGTTTATAATAAACAATTATGGGTATCATCTGGTTGTATTATTTATATATTTAATGTTAATAATACAAATGATGAAAATTCATATAATCTATTAATGAAAAAACCTGTTGATGATGATTGTCTTATAACAATGTTAGGTTTTTCAGGTCATATATGGGCTGGATCATTACATGGAAATGTTTATGTATTTCGTATGGATAATTATGAATTACATAAAACATTCGCTGGACATCATGCTGGTGTTTGTTCTTTATGTTCAATGCTAGATATGTATGTTCTTAGTGGTTCATTACAAAATGATACATCAATTGCTATTTGGGAAAATATACAAACACAAAATAATGGAACAAATGCATTAGCATCATCATTAACAAAACAAAGAGAACTTATGAAACCTATTGATATTTAATAATAAATTTTTGTTTACCTGTTAAAAATGAAAAATAAATAGAAGAACGTTTGATTTTATGATCGATCATATAATTGTAAAGTAAACGAGCAAAAATCTAAAATGATTAGAAATCAATAAAAATTTCTTTTTTTTTTCTTTAAATAAAGACATAAAACTGACGAATTGTTTATTGAATTGGGGTTGATTTTGATTTATTGCACAAAGTAAATGATAAAAATATAAAGGAATATTTGCAATATATTGTTGAAGTGATTTTAAATAATTTAATTTTTCATCATATGGTTCTTGAACAAAAATTAAAACTACTAATAACAAATATCTATAAATACGTTTTTGATTTCTTACGTTCAAAGCCAATTTTTTGTTGAATTTTCAATCGCCATTCAATTTCTTTTTCATCTGCACATATAGAACAACATCTATGAAAACACAAAACCTTTATTTATTTTTTGTTGAGAATTAAATATCTTTATATACTTAGCCAAAAATTCTTTCGAATATTCCATCATTGTAGATAACCATTCGGGTAACTACAAATATATAAGATCCAAAAATAAATATCTCATTAGAAAATAAATTTATATGTCTTTACTTGGGTTGATTGATTATGTAAAAATGACCAATCATGTTCATTTTTGACAAATAAATTAATCAATTCCCACTGTTCACATTGCATAATCAGATGGATCATTGCTGGTCGATATGAATCTAATTCAGAATTTTCAATAACGATTGTTACTAGTTTGTCAATAGGAAAGTTATTTTGTTGTGTTGTAACTATATTTTCTATAGTTAAAAATGTTTGAACTTGTGATCGCATTTCATAGTTTACATCAAACCAATCAGGTCGAATAATAGTTAACCAATTAAGTTTCGGTAGTACTCTTGTCGATCGATGAACAATATTTTGTAATTGTTCATATAAAAGATCACATGGACAAGTAACAAGCACAATAGCTGCTAAAATTCTATTACCATACTCGAAAAATATTGACCTAAAAAGAAAACAAAAAATGTTTAATAAAATAAATTTAATAACAAAATTTCAATAATATATACTCAATATTATCATTGTTAAATAATAAATATTGTTTTATTGCATTTCTTTTATTAATAAAGTAATGAGTATATTGACTTGAATGTACAAGCAAAGCAAGAAGATCAATTTTATATTGATTTTGTCTAGCATATGATATTTTAATTGATGCATAACGATGATAAATAAAATTCATTAATTCAAGTAACATAAATGGAATAATAATTGAAAGCAAACTTGGACAATATCGTTTTATATATAAATGAAAACGATTAAAATGATAAAATAATGTATCAATATAAACTGAATAACGTTTATTTTCAAAATAGGTTTTTGTATTTAACCAATCATTAGCATCACAATCATGTAATAAATTTATTTGCCAATAAGTTAAAATAAATTGACAGAAATTATATAAAAAATATTGAAATTGTTCATGATAAAATAATATTTCAATACTTGATAAACATGATATTAAACAAATACAATGTTCAAGAGATGTTGATGAAGGATAATTATGAAAAATCTAAATAATAAAATTTTATTCAACAGAAAATATATAATCAATTAGAAATTATTTACGTTAGAAGCTTTTTCTAGTAATTGTTCAAGTTTTTCATTACATTTTTTTATTAAATTAGACGAATGTTTAGATATTCTTGCATCATCAAAGAATAGAAGTAGTTTTCTTATCTCCTAAATGAAAAAATATATAAATACTTTATTAATATCCTCAATATTAATGATGAACTTACAGGACAAACAAAAAAGACAGAATTTCTTCTTGAACATTTATATTCTTCTAGGTTATCAAATGAATCAAATTGATCAAAAATTTTTTTATTTAATATCAAATCTATAAATTTAAAATTAAAATTAATTCATTAAATATTCAATAAATTTTACCAATTCGTTGATGAAGAACAGCAAGAATAATATCCGAAAAATATTCATTAATTATCATACAATGCTAATTAATAATCAAATGATTTTTTTAATTTTAATTTTAATGAAAAATGATTTCCTACTTTTTTCTCATCAATTTTATTTAATTGTTCACAAAGTTTGCCTAACGATTTAATAAGATAACTTAATGATGAATATTGTTGCTGTTGTTTATCGAATTTATTTTTTAAATATTCATTTAATTCATCAATTAATGGTTCAAACAGATGAAGAACAATTGAATTCCATATATTAATCGTATTTTTTATTAAATTTTCATTACTATAATATAGTTTTAAGGATCGCTCTAATAAACATCCTAATGAATAAATTTTTTCTCCATTACCACCCCATTTCTGTTTTTGAGTGTCTTTACGAAATTGGTTAATAAATGATTTAACAATTAATTCTCTAATTGTATTGAATGATAAAATTAATTCTGACGATGGTATAAGTTGTTTAAGAATTTCAAAAAGTAATGGAATAGATGGTGATAATGATAAAGAGAAACGTTTAAGAATATCTAACTGATATTGAATAAAATCATCAGAATATTCGTGTTGATTGATTAGACGAAGAAATGCTTGAAGAATGATTAAACATTCTGATGGATTAGATTCTTGAAATGTACGCTAAAAAATTTAAAAAAAAAACACTTCTTTCTTTTAAATAGAAAATGACTTGAAAAAGATTTTACCACAATTTCTAAAATATCATAATCATTTGTTGATTCAATTTCACTTTCTTTTTCATTTATATCATTATTCATTATAATCTAATTATTAATTTGTTTTCTCTTTGTAGATTATTTAATAAATGTTCATCAGCCATCCACCAACATGTTGGCAAGCAAAATATGACAGCAACACTTCGACTATTTTCATGATAAACGATAGATGTCATTGAATAATGGTATTGGATCTCAAGAATAGTCTGAAATTACATTTGTTTTCATGTGCTTGACACGCACAAATGTTACCACGTGCCCATATCACATGATTGTCCTTCCATAGGCAGGCGCTTGAGTGCTTATATGAGTTATACACAGGTCTTAACTCATGGGAAGACTTCATGAAACTCATACGAATGAACATACTTTAAAAAAATAATTGGAATAAAATAACCACATTTTTTTTCTATTCGAGATGAAGTAATTATTTTGGTCGTTCAGGATGTCTGAATCTAATTAGTTATATAGATTCTCTTTTTGTTCTGCTTGATACAGTTTTTGGTATTTAACATGATTCGATTCTATTAAGAATCGAATTATTTTGAACGTAAAACTGAGAAATAGTCGACAAATTTCACAAACCACAAGAAACTTCGGGTAACAAATCATATTCTTGACGATCATAAAGATTTACATTTTTCGTTTTATTGTTTTCTGAACAGACAGCTTTTGTGCATTGTCTAGTATATTGAATTCATTGTTTCGCATTGGAGCCTAATCTTCACTATGAAATTTAATGCCAAATTAAGAAATACAGTTGATGGAAAAGTTAATTCAGAGTTGATTCGACTCTAAAAGCTGATTTAAATTAAATACACCCATCCTGCAGTATTTTAATTTAATCAATGAAAGATACCATACTGATACTCAAGAACCATAAATGACTATGGGTAATATTGACGGTATCTTTGTTCCTCTTTCCAAAAACCTACTAAATTTCCAGAGTTCCATTTTCAAGTAGTAGATTTAAGAGCTTTCTGCTCCAAAAAGCATAAAAAAAAGACTCTCCTGATGCTTGGAGTAGACTGTATCTATACATATGAAATACAATACAGAGGCTGAAGTCGATTTTAATTGGTAGATTAACATTTGAAGTGAGGAAAAGTACGGAATCAATTATAAGATAATACAGTGTTATTTTTGTAGTCAATATCGAGCCTGTTTCTTTCTCGACCAATAATTCATGACAATTGTACCAAAAAAACCAATCAAAACATTCAGCTTTTTATTTGTGTTTGCATATGCACTAACAACGTTAAATAGTTGACAGCGACTGGGATTTACATAGAGACTACGGTTAAAACATTACAAAAAGAATTTCTCGAATATTCAAGCACACCATATGCACTTAAAGAGGATTCAAGTGCTTGATGTTACCAAAAAGTTTCAAGTCTTGCTTCAATATGTGTCCATATTACGTGACTATTCTGTCCAAGATATTCAAGTTCTTCATACACATGAAAAAAACGTTTGATTTGAGACGGTGTTTTAGTCTTTTAATAAGCTGAAACATCTCTATTATATATGTTTGTGAGCGATTGCTGCTTAGTCAGTCTTAATGTTTTGCTTGCCTACAACGCGAGAAGAGAGGATACGATATCATTCAGTACATCGCTCTCACCAATAGTGTACTTTTGCAAAAAAAATATTGCTATATATCTCAATAAAACTTTTGCTTAATCTTGAATCCTTTGCAGACGTTATTATTATCTTTCTATTCGCTTTACCCAAATCAATCACATAGGGTTGTATACCGATCAATACAAAGAAAAACGACAATTGTTCAGGGCTGTTACAATACTATTATTAGTAATTAGTAATCCTTTTTTGAAGTAATAAAATAATAAAGAAATACGTAATAGAGTAATACACAAATAAAATAATAGATATACTTTTAATCATCGATTAGATTTCCGCTTCGGTACTAACGTATTATGAGAACGTTGGAATTCATTTTTCCAACAGAAATTAATCTTAATATTTACGCATTATTGATAGAAGAAACATAGAGAAGGTAATAGTAGATTCTTAGAATCCTGACGTTCAGGAGTCCGTCAGATTCAATAGAATTCCGTTAAACTCCATACAATCTCTTCGATTCCATAGAACTACTCATGATTCTGAGTAAATTTCTAGGAGTCTATTACGGGATGCCATTTGTACCACAACAGTTTTCCATGTGGGTATCTCTTTTTTCTTTTTGAGTGTGATTGTGGATCAATTGTAGACTAATATCCGCATCCATAGTCACAGATACTCACACTCATTGTTGTGAACAACAGTAGGTTTCTGTGAAAGTTCGAGAACTCTCCCGGCAGGTAGCGCAGCATTCGATATTCACATGAAAAATGCGAAAATAAACAAAAGACTACTATTTTGCTCTATGAAGACAATAGCGTGTGAGTACCGAAGAAAGAATTTTCTCTTTATCAATATTCACATCCTCTGTATACGAGGGAAATGTTTTCGCTCTAACGAAGAATTATTGAGAAGAAATATGCATGATTGTTCTTTAGTATAGAATTGAATGTTTTTCAAATTCCCTGCTATTTTTATCATTTGAATTTTTGTTTGATCCTTTAAAAAGTCTTCACTACCATCTGAAGTCATTCTCAAAATATGGGTGCCATCAGAGTCAAAATCCTAGTTTTTGGTACTAACCATCAATTAAAAACTGATTTTTCTCTATCTTTCACTTTTACTTCTAATTTGACTTCCTTATCAATTTGTAGAGTGTTTCAATCTTTTAGAAAATATAAATGATCTCCTTAGACATCACGCATTTTATCAAGAAATCTTGACTATGTTTGAACTGGCAGATACTGATGTATTTTTTTTGCTTCGCAAGAATTAAAACCCTCTTTAAGAACAAGCAACTGTACAAAAAAAATAGTTGAAAATTTTCCTCAGTATTCGAAAGAAGAATGTGTTTTCTTTTAAGAAAAAGACGATTTTTCTTTCCATTATAACATAAATAAGTAATTCTAACGCACAATATTATGGGATATATTTATTTTTGTTTTACCTGTTTGAGTTGGCTCGCGACGATCAATAGTGCAGAGCAAAGTTACAAATAAAAACAAAGATGTTCTGAAAAGGGCGTTCGAAGAATATCTACATAAAATCTTGATTAAAACCAAACATGCTTTATATTAATCGATTCTTCTTTGAAAGTTCTATCGATCTGAGCAATTGATATATCTAATATAAGCCACTGTGAATTGAAGAATAGTTTATAATGAGGATAAACATCCTCCAGGTATACTCTTTCTCTTCTTCCTACATATTAGATAAAGAAACATACATACCATGGAATCAATCAACTGTGACATATTATTTGTCATGCATCAGTAGCTTGTTGTATTTAAATATTGCTCCTTTTTGTTATATTCTGAATATTTTAACTTAACCAAGTGCAGAAAATATCATGTTACATCGAACTCGAACTCGAACTCGAAATCAACAAAGTTCATTTCCTGAATTAGTTGGTCAAAGTGCTCATGAAGCAGTTCGCTATATTTCTGCTCGAGGTAGTTCTTTTTTATATTGATATTTTATTCATTAGAAATCGATTCTTTATACTTATGTTCAAGGCTTGACACCAGTTCTGATGAAACCCAATCAACCAATGACAATGGACTATCGACCAGATCGTGTTCGTATTATAACAGATCCATCAGGACGTGTAGTTCTTCGAACACCTATGATTGGTTAATGGAGAAAATTCTATTATTTAATAAACCAGAGACTTTTCTTTTTGTCTAAATAAAATTATACTCCTCATCATTCATATTGCTTTTACTTTTCAGACCTAAGATTTTCGTTTATGTATTCTTGGAATCGGTTTGATTGATTAAATTAAGCATAAGAAAAAGAACTTAACATTTCGCAAAATGATGATTTATCTATGGTTTTTTTTTCTTCAATCTTTAATAAATACATTGAAAAGAAAACTAAATTTTTATTTACAGAAATATAAATAACAATGTCTTAATAAAGTTGTCCTGCTAACATATTTTCGTTGCTTTCATTATTTTGTCAACACTAAAACTAGAGTTAGATAGTCACAAACACATGTTCTAATACTCCGTCAAAAATTACTCTTATATAATCCTCCGATAAAGATGGTTGAAACATGTCATTTTTCTCGTGTTATAATTAATAATCTTAAACTGTCCTATATGAATATTCGGATTAATATGACAAGCACAAGATAAACATGGTTTTATTAAGTAATAGGATTTCATTATGCTGCTACCGAAAAAAAAGGAACAAGAAAACGATTCTAAATGATGTTTTATTAGATAAGCTTGAACACTTGTAAAGTTTTATACAAATATTTACTGGCAGTTATTATTTTTAATTGACATATATATATATCATCTACCAAACTCTATAAGTGCGAATAAAATTTTGTAGCTGAATTTAGTTTTTCTTTTTTGTTATATTGCAAAAATTTGGTATCCTATCAAGCAGTCAATCATTGATCACACCTCAGCGGCTTTTTATATTTATTCGTTTCTACAACATAAGCAACATTGAAAAAACCCCACGTGATATATTACTATTTATTTGTTCTTATTGTCACTATTCATATTCGATTACGCACATTTAGTGAGAAAATATCATGTTTACCACAATTAATAACCAGCGACGATCGTTTCCAGAATTAGTTGGTCAAAATGCACATCAAGCAGCTGCTTATGTTGCCGCTAAAGGTACATTTCTTCTACATTAATCTTTCTATGTTATCATGTATTTTCTTTACAATATTATACTAGGTTTCAAACCTGTTATTTTGAGACCTAATGATCCTATGACTAGGGATCTGCGTATGGATCGTGTTCGTATCATCGTTGATCCGACTCGAACATTCGTCATTAAAACACCTATTGTTGGCTAAGTGGAACGACTTTACAATTATTTAATAAACCTTTTATTATTATTTTTAATTTATCATGATAGCTTTTTATTATTTATAAATCAAGATATCATAATGTAGACTTGAAAATCTTAGGAATAGAATATTTCTTGATAAATACAATAAATAACTATGTATTTCATTTTTCTTTGATCTTTAATTTATTTTAATCATTAATATGTAATTGGCATAGGTGTAAGCCAGAATCTGATAATCGTATCATGTATCATGTTTTATTCTTGCTATTTAAACTATATTAATGTTTTTTATGACCTTCGTCAAGAATCCATTGTACACTAGATGATTGAAAAAAAATCAATCTTGATTGGAATCTGTTGATATACTAATGTTAACCGGAGACTGCGTCAAAACCTATGAAAAGTTAAATCATTTTTATATTTTCCAAGTAATTCACATGGATTAAATAAAAATATGACCGAAGATTATGGTCTGAGTAAAAGAAGAGGCACATACTTAAAATGACAAGTTGTATTCATTTCTTTTTCGAGTTCGATTCAGGAGTTGTAGCCAAAAAATTATTGATTATTTAATAACATTCTAGGTTGTTTTTTTGTCATTTATTCTAATCAAACGAAGATGTCAGTAGTAAATCTGGACGCAGTACTTAGTTCGAAGATATCAAGAGTTATTTGAATATAAAGATGTGTGCTATTGTTTCTATTTGAAGACGACATAATGTTTAAGGCAAAATGTTCATTGTTCTTCGCTTACAATCCTGGATCTTTTATATGATGTTTATGAAAGAACTTATATAAAATTACTTTAAACTATTACCTATATTAAAATTTTAAAATATAAATAAAATAAAATGAATTGAAGATTTAATATTGCTCTTCACAAAATACTATTGGATATGTGTGTGAAAAGTATCTCTGTACTACTAGATTTTGTCTGACTTCTATATACGAATCAGTTGGACTATTTCTCACGCTATAATATAGGTAAACATTTGTTTTTTTTTGTTATCACCAGAACAACAATAAATGATTGATATAAGAACATACACAACAACCACCTAAAATACTGTCTAAAAATATTCGAATATGTTCTTATATATTTATGTCATCTTCACTTTTCTTATTGGATCTACATTCAACATACCTGTCTTCAGTCCTGCCGACGATAAAATTAATTATGAATTACTTGGTAAATATTAATATTGATCATAATTTTAGATACATGCCATTTCTCTTAGGTGGTGGATTCGAAGGTGATATGATTTTACCGGATGGATTCGATCCAGCACGTCCATTAAATGAAAAAGGTGTAGCTAGTTATGGACCTCGTCGTTGGCCAAACAATATCATTCCATACGATATTTCATTAATTACAAGTAAGATTAATCTAAAAACCTTATATGAACACAAAACTATATGTAAATTTGTAGATGCTGCACATCGTACTATGATTGAAGAAGCAATGAACACACTAATGAACACCACAAGCAGACCGATTGTAGGATCAATAGTCCGTAAACCATGTATTACTTTTCAACCGAAAACATCGAGTGATCAAGTTTATCTTAAAATTCAGTATGGAACCGGTTGTAGTGCAACAGTAAATGACATCCAAATCAACTTTCCAAGTAAATGCTTTGTTTCTCATTTCTTTAGATAGGATATTCTACTGGCGAAAAAAGGTTAACATTAGCAAATCCTGGTTGTTTTCGTTCTGGTACTATTCAACATGAACTCATACATGTTCTTGGTCAGTATAGTATAAATTCTTAAGAACAAAATCAATTAGAATAGTTTTACTTGTTTTACAATTAATATGAATATTATAGATTAATTCATTTTTGTTTCTTTTTTTTTCTGTGTAAATAAATAGGTTTCCGTCATGAACAATCGCGTCCTGATCGTGATTCATATATAACTATCAATTACGGCAATATTGAATTAGGCAAAGTAGGTTTTCAATACCACGAAGCAAAAGATAACATAATCGAATAATTATAGGAACATAACTTTAACAAATATACTTGGGGAGAGACTGTTTTAAATCAAAATTCACCTTATGATTTAGGAAGTATAATGCATTATGGTGCTACTACTTTTAGTTCAAACGGACAACCAACTATTATACCAAAGCAAACAGATGCAGCAATTGGTCAAAGAGAAAAACTTAGTGGAACAGATATTGATGAAATTCGTGCTTTTTATGATTGTTCAAGTTAAAGATTATTATTTGTAGAATAATATTGGTAAAGATGTACTATCAACAGTCTTTGTCTAATTTTATTAAAAATTTGAAAATGAAATATATTCTTCTAAATAAAATATCAAGACGAAATATTTTTTAACATCAATAATATGTTTTTATTATGATGAAAACGATCATAATATAATATCTGTTGTTCTAATTTCCGAATTAACATTAATAAAATACTTGGATCATTTGATTGATTTATCAGTCAGTTTGAATCTTGTACTTAAGCTCATTAGTGAGTTAGATATGTTTCAAAAGCTTCACGATAACTCAGCGAATTACACATACTAAGACATAAGATTGATCATGGGGCCACTATTAGCTGAACTGAAGGGCAATCAAAAACAAAGTTAATCTATGTATTATAAACTTCAACTCATGAAAAGTTGAAAGAGTATTTACTATGAATTAAAAATGTCTTCAGAGGTTATAATATAGCTGAAAACAAAGTAAATGTTTATTGAACAAGACATGTCAAACAGTGTTTCCAATGGCAAGTGTAACAAACAGAAACAAAATGTACGAAACATCTGCTACTTTTGATTTACACTCTGTTGTACACTTGCCCAGAAAAATAAAGTGTACAATGTACACTTTGCTGAACTAGTTTACACTTTGATTTCTTTGATTTTTGAACCTTAAAAACCGCATATAGTTTTAAATTAATTAAAGATTACGTTTATTTGTTCGCTAGAGATCAAAATGTTTATCTCATGAAAGAAAAAAATGTCGAACATTTTGTTTTTCAGATTGTGAAAATTTGACCTTCGTACACTTTGATACATTTTGCTGAAAAAAACAAAGTATAAAATACACTTTGCTAATAAAATACAGAGTGTACAGTACATTTTGCTTTAAATTTCCATTGGAAACACTGATGTCAAAAAACATCTGTACTCTTTTGATATTAATTTTTATCGGTTTACTTCTTTTATTTTTCTATTAGTACAATAACATGGGATTAATGTTGCTTTTGTCCACTCAATAATGAGGTCAAAAAGAAAATCAAAGCTTAATATATTGTTAAATGTTCCTTCTCTATCATGCTGTTATTGGATTAATTCAACAGCTCTACATAAAGATATGGATACTCGGCAGATCAGACTACATCATATGCATATTAAATAGATTAATACTCTATTTATAAAGTTATTTTATCAGTAACTCTTCTCAAATTGCTGTTGAAGGTAAAAGGATAGGAATAATTATAAGATATGTTAAATTTGATATAATTCATGATGACGTTATATATATATATGTCATCAACCAATAATAAAATTAAATTCATTTAAGTGACATCATTTAAATCATTTATTAGATAAAATATATTTCAAAAGAATGGTTTTTATTTTAGGAAATAATTAACTTGAATGATAATAACAAAACATAAAAAATATTATCTGACCACAAATCAATAGTATACTATTGGCACATATGTTTTGTTTTTTGGTCATCACAGCAATGAAAATTAAATTTTAGTACAAGTTGATAATGATGGATATACACAAAATATAGAATTACGTTTTTTTTTTGTTATTTATTTTCAAACGTCGTTATAGTCTTGAATAGAACAAAAAATGTTATTAATATTATTTATACGCTAGATTCCTTTCATGACTATGAAACAAATATAATGACGTCCTTTTTATTACAGCTAATTATATGCTTCAAACAAAAGCAATAACAAAATAATTGCAAATCAATATATATATATATATATATATATATAAATGACCTTTATTTATTGCAATAAACTAAAAATATAAGCGAAAAGGTACAATAATACGGTGTAAGACGTAAATCTTTGAAGAATGACTCACCTATCACGTTTGCGAGAAAAATAAATTAAAATTCGTAATTAACTATTATAGTAAATTGCATATTTGATACACCATTTAATATATGAAAAACAACAATTTGTCTATTCAATCTATCAAACACATTAATTAGAGATACATATTTACTTGTACCTCAAATAAGAAGTATTGTAGAAAATAATGGTATATTTTTGAGATAGTGTAATTGAATAATTTGACTTTAAAAACATAATTTGTCTTTAAGAAAGTTCATTTTTATTAATACTGTCATATTTAAATGTGCAGTTATTATGTTTTTTTTCTGCCATTACTTGTAGAGATTTAATCAAGAGTGCAACTTCTGGAAGATTTACTATATTCGTTATAAATATTAATCAAAATATGTAATATTTTAATTTTAATGGGTTTTTATTTCTAGTCATAAATGTATGCGCTTATGAATATGCGTAGGTTTTTATATTTTTGTTTTTCATAAAATTGAAGACAAAAATGATTATTTTGTAATTACCCATTCGTGAAATATGTTGTTCAACACTCACATTTCCAGTGTTTAAAAAAAAATCTTATAGAAACCTAATCTTGAATATTTTATTTCTCATTCTCAGTTTTCTTTTACAAACATTTCATGAGTTCTATAAAGCAATATTATCTACAAATTGGATATAATGTTTGCACGTATCGTACTCTCATTTTCTTTCTTGGCAATAATATAAATTGTGCATCTCTTCTTCATACATCTTTCAGCACAACTATTTCAAACTATATTGATGTCGAATGGAACTATGTAAAACATAAATCTATCTGATTCTACAACAAATCAAACTGAATATGAATTGTTCCTCATTTAACGATAAATAGTATCGTCAAACTGATATTAACAATAATGATTTTGTAGCAAAAGAACATCGCAATTTAATATAACGATCGAAACAACTGAATGAGAAAAAAAGTTTTGCAGGTCTCTAACAAAAATCATTCTAGTGCAACTGTAACGAACTATACAAGCTATTGCTATTTTTGTAGTCATCATAAGAATACTATTTCTACCGATCGGATATTGGTCTAGTGTTGATATGATAATGATACTTGTTGATTCGAGATGTTTTTATTCACATACTATTCAGTCTGAACTAATGCATATTTTCGATGAGTGTTATTTTTTTATGACTATAATTCTATAACAATTTGTTTATAAAATACAGTATCCAAAGTATAATAACTTAGCTTAGAGATAATATTGAATACTATGTTTTCGCTAGTGTGATTAAGAAGTCACTAATTTATAAATCTATATTATCGTTATATAAATCTTGGGAAATTAACATTTAGTTTTATGCACTATGATGTACGATCTACGGTAACAATTTAATCGCTGCACTTTTACTTGATACTTATAAGAATTTAATAAAATAAATTACGAACGATCTCATCATGATCATGATTCATACAGTATAATCAATAATGCTAATAAACATCGTTGTAAAGTTAGTTTTTAATTGATTTTAATGACTAATAAATAGACGTGTATAACCATTTTAGAAAGACAATTTCAATAAATTTGCGTGTCGGTTTGTTTCATATTAAAATACACCTTACGAATTGAGAAATATAATCTACTATGGCATTAATCTTTTCAGTGTAAACAAGAACCCGACTAGTACTACAAAGAGATCTAGTATAGTAATGAAGTATTGAAGAAAATAAAGTAAAATGAATATTACTGAAATTCGTAACTATTATGCAATTATTATTTTTTTAAGCTTTGATTGTATTTTTTCACGGTATCCAATAAGATCTTCATAAATAATTGTTTTTTTTAATTTTCCGAATATATATTAAATTTGCATTTAAATTCTGTATCGAAATAATTTAAAAAAATCATTATTATTCAATTACGAATTTCGTCGATAAAATAAAATGTTAGATAATAATCGATGTCAAGTGATAGTAATTTTATTTACACAAAAATAATCAAATCAATAACCTTAAGAAAGTAAAAATACCAAGAGAATGCAGTGAAGCATATCAGTTACTCTTTAATAAAAAAAACAACATGTACGTGTATATGGGTAGAGAGATTGCTCCAATATTATTATGTAATGCAGAAAATTTTGAAACTTTGTCGAGACATGAACGTTGGTTTCAAGAACAACCAAAACTTCTTCTCGATGCTTTATCTATTCAAAATGGTATGAACATAGCTGATGTAGGAGCTGGAACTGGATTTTTAACAGTACATTTAGCTCATCGTGTTGGACCACAAGGTTTTGTATTTGCTACTGATGTACAGTCTCAAATGCTAGATGCTTTACTTAGTCGACCCGATCTTCCTGACAATGTGATCCCTATTCTATCTACGCCTACGGATACAGGTCTTCCATCAAAAACATTCGACCTAATTTTATTAGTTGATGTTTATCATGAAGCTCTAAGACCTGATCTTCTATTGAAAAACTTGCGACGAGCTCTAAAATCTAATGGTCGACTTGCTCTTGTCGAATATCGAATGGAAGATCCTCGAATAACTTGTGATCCACGACATAAGATGAGTGCTAGACAAGTTATTATGGAGCTTGAAGCAAATCGTTTTAGATTGGTAGAACTATACGAACATCTACCATGGCAACATATTCTGATTTTCATGAAACAATAATTGAATCGTTATTAAGAAAACCTTTTAAACTTTAATAAAATATGTATTTCAGCTACTGCATTTTAACATGTAATTATTTAAATAAATAAAAAATAAATTAACCAAGCAATTCTCATATATATTAAAACGGTTGCATTTGAATACTTCATATTCGAGAGTGTTGCATTTGAAAATGTTTTATTTTCGAAGGAATGAACAAACATAGAGGCAGCTTAATATTTAATGGTATTTTCATAATGCAAAATAGATATATAATGAATCTATTATTGAACATAATTTTCCTATATTTATATCAATAAACTGAATGACTTTATTATTCTGACTAAACAAAACTGAAAATATCATAAATCAGAAGAAATAAAAGACAATGCTTCAGTAGAATATTTTCTATGTGAATATATTCAGCTGTCTACAATTATATATATTAGCTTTGCCTTTGTAGTCATATTGTTAAACATATACTCACTATCGACAATACACCATATGTTCGTATTATTATTCGTAGTAGTCGTAAGTATTTCAGCTTATCCAAATGATCAATTTGTTTGTCCTGGAAGCAGTTCTAGTTATCTTCCAGTAACATTGCCAACAAGTTGGATAAATGGATCAATGAATTGTTTTGATGAAGATTCTCAAAGACTTGACTTAGATATATTTCCTGTTAACAATGATACATATATTCTACGTGAAAATAAATGTATAAATTATGAAGCACCATTTATGTACTTACTTTTTGGTAATGATACCGTATTATTAATTGATAGTGGAGCAACAGTATCACTTGTTTCTTTACCTATTCAACAGCATATTGAAACAATTATACTTCATTGGTGTATTATTAATAAAAAAGAACGTAAAGATATTCAACTAGTTGTTGCACATACACATAATCATCAAGATCATACAGCTGGTGATGCACAGTTTCAAGACAAACTTTTTACAACAGTTGTTGGTACAAGTGTTGATGAAGTTAGTCAATTTTTTCAATTAGATGATTGGCCAAATACGATTGGTACATATGCACTTGATAATCAACGTCATTTGGCTATTATACCGATACCTGGTCATGAAAATTCTTCTATTGCCTTTTATGATTGTGCAACAGGCTTATTGATAACAGGTGATTCATTATTACCTGGGCGTTTATATATATCAAATTTTTCTGCTAATGTTGAATCAATATCACGTTTAATTAATTTTATTGAATTAAATCGTATTAATATAACATCAATACTTGGTGCACATATTGAAATGACACAAGAAAATAAAATTGATTATCCCATAGGTGCAACATATCAACCAAAAGAACGTCAATTAAATATGTCATTAGAACAATTACATCAACTTAATAATGAATTACAACAACAATGGAAAGATGGTTTTAATCATCGACATAAAGCTTATTATGATACATTTATTATTGATCCAAATCCATCTGAATTACCACCGTTACAACCCGATGGACGTGTTTCAGTTCATGGTTTTATATTATTACCATTGGATAAATCAGATTATGTATGGATATCACATAAACCAATGTTTCGTACACCACATGATTTTCAACTTGTTTTTCTTGCAAAAATTATAAATTCAACAGTTGATCCAGTACCATTGCCAACAAATGTAACTCGACTAAATAGTCAATGGACCATTGAACCTGAAGAATGGTCATTAAATAACTTAATCAATGGTAATTTAACATCATTTCAAACAAAATTATATAAAGGAGATTTTGAACAAGGTGGAACATATTTATGTAATATAACAATAAATATAATTCAACCATTATTAACTGTTGTTCAATTAAATATATCAGAAGTTGAACCTTATCAACCATTACGTTATATAAGTTATTTTCTAACGAATTCAATTACAACAACAAAAACACATATTCATCTTTATCTTCTTCATCAAATACGTGTACAACCTGATTTTGATGCTATTGCACATGTTGCTATTGATCCAGCTAATTGTACAACAGATATTGATCAGAGTAAATTAAATAATTTATTACAACAAAATGGAAATGAATGGGCATTACCTGGAATTGATAATGATATAGGTGATCGTCTTACGCCAGCATCTGGATTAGTACGTGCACAACTTCTTGGTGATATTTATTCAACAACATGTACAATGCAAGTTGTTGAAGAAATTCAATGTACTATGGGACCTGAGTTTTATGAAGACTGTAATGTTTAACAATTAAATTCAGTTCGTTGCTTCTCAAAAGGTTTTCCTTTCATTAAATATGAATTACAACATATTTATTCAATCTTTACTATATAAGAAAAATAAATAGGCAACTCTATTTTTTCAGTTAAGACTTTTCTTAACAGAGTACAATTGTGGTTTGACTTAAGATGCTTTGGTTTTCATTGATTTCTCTATTGTTCATGACATAAATCAAAACTAAAATTATGCAAGTTTTGTTACCCGTGTGTTTCAGCTACATCTACTCGCATTACAATGTTAAAAGCGATGTACGTCTTTGTAAAAAACGTCAAACTGTGTTAAAATCGACCATATTGCTGGCTTTTAAGACTTTCAATATTCTTTTTGTGTTGGAAAGAGTTATGTCTGAACGGTAAATTTTGTGAGAAAGATAGTTTTGCAGAATAAATCTGTCAATGAGTAAAAGGTCAAAATCAAATTTTTTTAACAAGAAGTTCTTACAGCGTTTGTGCAATCTGCAAAAATCTGTACTTTTCAATTATGTTAAGCCACACAGACTAATTTCTAGCATAAAAATAAACCAAAGTTAAGTACATCAAAAACTCAATGAATACAAGATTTGATAGAACATTTCGTATGTTTTCTTGGTTCTTTAATTTGGAAAGTTTTAAAATAAAAGTTTCGTTAAACAGAGATTATCGAAGAAGAACTATCAGCCGCCATTTCAGCAAAACAAAGCACGAACTCATTTCTTTCCTTCCGTTATTTTGCCAAAATATAGTAGATGATAGAAGTTTTTTAAGAAAAAAACACTATTCACAATACATTTTTAATCACTGCACAATGACTGAATAATGAGCACCAGGAAATTATTGAATCTCTATTTTTCGAAGAAGTAATAACTTCATATAAAAATGAGAGAGTAAATTTAACTTCCAATATACCATTAGGAGAAGCAATAGTTATTCTACAACCATCAACAACGGATGCAGGAATTTCATTTGAGTTATTTGATTTTTGTCTTTTACCTGTTCTCAGATTTCTTCTTTGTTCGTTTCAATAAAAAAGAAAAAGAATTTGATTGATTTTGCATTCAGCAATATAATCTAACAGTTATCAACATTAGTTCAAAGACTTGTCCATCGCATGTTACATTTCGTTTCTAGTCGTTTGTCAAAAGTAATATTGTCAAAACCGACATCACCAAACATGTGCTTAATGTATTGAATTAAAGAAATATGATTTGATTGATCCGCAAACAAGAAACGGTTAAAATGACCGCCAATAGAGAAGAGAATAGTAAAAACATAAATCGTAAGTAAAGTATAATATTAGAAATTCGTGAATAAATTATTCAAGACACATCATGCAAAATTTTTTCTATTCATTTTTATAATTCCAACAAACAATTATATTCAATTCGAAAATATTTTTATATATACTACATGCTTTTTTAAAATATGTAATTTAGTAAAATTGGTTGTAGTAATTTAAGTATATTCGTTTACAATGGTTGCAACAGTCCTCAATTGTCTTTGCAACTGTTTTGATTTGTTCTCATCTTCTCGAATAACTCTAGTCTTCTGAATTTTTCATGTACTATTTAAAAACAATGTAGAAAATAAAATATATATATGATTATTTATCAAACATTATAAAAAATCAACATGAGCTCGAAAAAAATCAGTACTCACTGTAACATCTATATTTGATCCTAAAAATAATCAATAGTAAAAATTTAAACTTTAACAACTTGATTTGTACTAAGAAAAACAAATTCATAATTCATCTTGTATTACCTTATGAGAGAAAGACTCCAACTGTAACCGATTGTTTGAACTCGTATTAGGTTCTTAAGGAGATCTTAGTAAAACTAGAAGTAGTCTAGAAGAATTCGTACTCATGGACATTTGAAATCGAGTTATGACCGTTTCACTGAGCTTTTGATCCATTTTTACATATTTATTAGAAAATTAAAAATCTCGCAAAATTCGAGTTTAATTGAAAACTTCAATACGTTAAAAAAAGAACATCCTTTTCGAACGAAACTTTCAAGATATTTTAAGGATTATTATATCTATCGATGAGTGAAAATTTCGTTCGAGATTTCCTTATTCAGCTTTATAGTCAATATTTCAAAACATGGCTCAGAAATTCAGTAGAACGACCACGACCTCAACTTCGAAAGTCCATGGACACAAGTACTTTTAGGCTTTTTGTAATCTTACTGAGGTCTCTTTGTAGGTCCAACATGAGCTCAAACAGTAGGTCACGTTTGGAATAACTCCCTCGTTAGTTCAAAAGAGATATCAAATTATAATTTAGCCATTATTCAAATCAACCATGTATTTGTTTTCAACAAAAATATTTAGAAAATTTACATCTGAGATCAGTTATATAAGGTTAGTTTGGTAAAATACATAATAAAAATTACTTCTCCAGTTTGACTAGACAAATACAGAGTTAAAAAAAAAGAAATATATATATATATATCTGACAAAACAACTTTCAAACAAATACTATACATTAAATAATTGAAAAGACAAGAAAATAAATAATAATTAACAAGAGAAAAATCTATTTTTTAAATCGTTTTCCCGATGATTTCGTATCTTTAAACATATAATCTTCGATTGTGCCTTGTGTACGTTTTGCAGATGTTTTTTTCGGTGTTTTCTTTTTTTCATTTTTCAATATTGATGCTTCCAAATATTGACTTGGTTCTCGTTTGATAACGAATGAATCGAGTGTATTTCGATTTGACGGATTTGTTTTACTAAAATTAACAAAAAAATAATAAATACATAAATTCAAACATCGTATTT